GATCGGTGGCACATCATCGATGTGTCAGCTGCTACACAAAGCACCATTAATGAGGAGTATATTATGAAATCATATTGCGTTCTTACACAGTTCTTTCTTTTAGGTCAGAAGCATCGATAATGATATTTATCTAGGAAGAACCGCGAGATCGGTGACACGTCGTTGATGCTGCGACCCAATAGGGAGGGTAGACATAGGAACAAGAAGTCGCAGATAAAATATATAATGGCAAATGGAATATATATATATAATACATAAGCGCGACACCTCAGTTGGCGCTTTTAAAGATTACCGAATCGATCGCAATAAGTCTAATGTGAAAAATATGGCTGACTATCATGCAGACGTTGAGGACATAGATGGGGTAAATTCAGACAAGTTATTTGAAGTTATTTGATTTCCATTTTAATGGAAATTGAGAACATAATGGACGATGTAGAGTTCGAGAATATCAGAAACATTGAGGACAGAGTCGACAGAACATGTTAGAAATGTGGATGAAGAACAGTTTGCGAATATTAGAGACGAAGTGTTTGAAATGTTTGATGAAATGGAAGTAGACTTTGAGAATATAATGGATCAAGAGTCATCCGACGAAGAAATGCTATCCAACGATAGTGGATGTGCTAGTGATATGAACGAGTATGAAATGGATCGCGTAAAAAAATTCGTGTTGTCTCCAGAAATTCGTAGGTTGAACTTGTACTAAACACTGTGCGATTTATAATTATTATGCAACGAGGTGGTTCTTTAACCGTATGTACATCATGCATGATTCGTATAGCTGACATTAACGATGGAGGAATGTATCACATCAGGGAGCATGAGACCGGTTTTTTCGATAGGCTAGATAGCAGGTCGTGCACAAATTGCAGACTGCTTTTGATATTATATTCTCGTGCAGCATGTCCTCACCTTTTTACATTAAAAAAAAATGAATGCGAAAAAAGTGCCTGAAGACTGTGAATGGAGGAGAGACAAAGATGTGCGAATATCGCCGGTGCAGTTCTTACGCGATCGACAAATAGGTATACGTAGTGCGAAATAAAGTCATCATCAATGACGATAACGATGATGAAAAGGATTATTGGTTCGGACGGTTAGGAGACGAAACGGTGCACATTGACTGCGAAGAGAGATTTTGGTACAAAGTTTTCGGTTTAATAAAAGAACAGTGTTATCATTCAATGAAAAGTAAACAAAAGATTCAATAAAGCTGCAGGCGTATTAAGATTCCCGCGGATGGTAAGAAGTGCGTTGAAGTGATAATAACGGACAAGTTAGCGATACCATACTACGACTGCGAGGAGAATCCTGCAAAAAAGTATTTCATGACCAATGTGATAAGTATATAATCAATTATGTTACTCCTATAAAGAGTGCATTTTAGTATACGAACATATTACCAAAATAAAATATTATGACATTCTGGATGTAAAGATGCTGCAACGTGTGTGAACGAGTCACGTGCTCCGTGTAAGAGTGCGTGATCTAAGGACTGTGAAAAAAAAAACAGAAAAGAGAGCGAACTGCTAGAACAGTGCGGCCAGGTCGCTACTCTGGTGGAGTGTTTCGCGTGGCTGCAATGATACGACGAGTGTATCGAGCAGCTTGAAGAATTTTGGCATGTCAAGCGTTCGCGCCTCGCCATTGGATACAGAAA